AGAAGGAAAAAAGAGGGAAGATGGTTGGAGTTTCAAGCTAGCCACTGGAAAAGTAACATTTATCCAGAGACATTAACTGGCTCTTACCCAAATTTAGCAAAAACACCAAATTTAAAGTCCATCCATTTGAAAGCTTAAACTTTTTAATGGGTTTTAGCGGCTTTTTGTGCTATTCGACCGAGATCAGTTTCTTCTTGGCCCAAAATCAAACTCTATCAGTTATCCGTATCAACCGATTGTAAGTTTTGTTTTTTTACACGTATGCAGATAAAAAAATGCATATTGTGACAACCCATGGCGATCGTATATGTGTATGTTTGTGTGCATTTGTGTATATTTGTGCCTGTGTGTGTGCGTAGGTCCATCCGGGTATTTCACCTCCGCAGCCAGGCAAGCTTCGACGCTGCAATTTTGCCAGTGGATATCCCAGTCAAGTGCTACCTCAAAGGTGCGGTACCAACCTTCACGCAATTTTTTAACTCAGTTGATTTAAAAATCTTACGATATATACGAAATATTTATCACGTTTACTAACATATACTTGAATTTAAAAAATTTTTTACAAGAGAATCGTTAATTCGCAGCTTTCACTTTACTATGTTGTTCTCGGTCAATCAACTCTCACTGCTTTAGCTTCGTATTTTTTGAAATTAGATTTCATTTTTTTATTTACATAATTTTATTTTGCTTTACACCTGTCAGCACCGGGGTGCTAAGGAGGTCCAGCTGTGATGTTGAATAAGTATACACACGACTTGATGAAGCGAAACATTCCTATTCATCTAATTATTTAATAAAATTTTATATTTTGTACATACCATTATTAACATTTTCATTGGACAAAAAGATAAGTACCATTTTTTCTTCGCAGATTTTCGTGGTTATGAAATGCCTCAAAATCAGTCCAACTGATTTTGAGGCACCGCATAACCACAAAAATTCTGATGTTTCATACTCATCTTTAGTGAACTGCCCCTGTATCGGTCAGTTGTGGGCGAAACAGTTCAGAGTTCTCAACTCAACTGTCTTAGAGCCTAGCAAAAGCGTAAAATGAAAATGCGAGAATTAAAGGATCCAAAAAAATTTGCCCCCTTTAGGAATGCGTGGCAAACTGGCACTGGAGCCACAGCTGCGCTGCGAAGGCATATGCTGTCTCGTTGATCGTGATTTCTCTCTCCGCACTTTCTTTGCGAGTTGCGACGGTAGCTTTTCCTGAATAAGGCTATTATAGTAAAAATAAGAGTTTTAGCATTTTCAGGCTTAATTTTGCCAAAATTTTATCTATTTCTCTTGGAGGCTGTGAAATATGAAAGCAAACATATATTGTGATATCTGTGAGACTAAAGACTTTTTCAGCTGAAAAACCTCTTTGCTGCTGCAACTGAAACCTCGGGCTGGTAAGTGTTTCTCTCAATCCACTAGATGCAGTCCTTGTAAGCTTTGAGTCGTGTCGATGCTGGCACAAGCTGAATAGATGTGGCTATTTGTGGTGTTGTTGAACCGTACTATGTGCTTGGAACTGTAACTGAATAAGCGAGGGTATAAGAAAATAAAAAGGTTCTTCCCCAGTGCCAAAACTATTTCAGCAACCATGACTAGGAAATGCAAAAGGTTTTCCCCAGCACAAAAGTGGTCCCATAATCCGCAGGGGAATCCCGTATCAATGACGTTACTGGGTTGCCTTCACGAATTCGGTGCAACTACGTTAGTCTTTCGGTCCTGAACTATGTGCTTCCAAGTTTTTTCAGCCGAGTTTCTCTTAATTCCGCAGCCTTTCAGGTCGGTACGGAAAAACTTATCGCGCCTAAAATGCCGGCGCAATTTTCAACCATACAACTTAAAAAGTCTTATCTTTGAATTAAAAGAACAATAAAGAAAACCTGTGAAGTTGAAGGCTGTGATAGCAAATCCTGCGGGCGCTGAAAGCTTGGACTAGCATCTGTCTCTTTCCAGTCCATTGGTCGCAGTCCTTGCCAGCCTTGAACCGTTTTTGGCATCATTTCTGGGAAATACATGCTGGAGCGGGACAATTGCGGCTTTAATAGATCAAAATGTGCGCTGCGAACCTGAGCGAACAAATATGAATTTGGCTTTACTCCAACAGTAAAAAAATTTTCTTTCTTTACGATACCTCACACATCCTGGTTCAACAATCAAATGATGAAAACCCTTTACGCTTATATTTTGATCAGATCTGCGATTACACAGTTGTGATTCTCCAAGCTACATAGCTGATCATTTTTCCAGTCACTTTGAAAAATTTTGCT